TGGTTTCTTCAAGTATGAGAAGAAATAACCTGCTACATCACCATGATGACCACGGAATTGCCAGAAATCTACCATAAACTATGTATTTTAATGACTTCATTCATATTCCTTAATTTTTGTTAAAACATCAGTAGAAATGCTGGCCTTTTATCTTTAGATTTGTTAATATTATGTTTGACCAGACCTGGAAAAGAAAGAATAAAAAATATTTTGAAAACAGAAAATGTGACTGAAAGGTGATCAATCTTTCTACAGTGTCAAAGTGTGGAAAAGATAAAGGTAAGGATGAACTGTAAATGGCTAGCTTTAGAGGATGCAAGGAAAACCCATGGTTTTCAGTAAAGTTTTACTTCTAACATTTCCAAACACAATTTGAGCAAAACTACAGTTCTTCCTTTATCCTCAGGTAGGATCTTTTGACTTTAGGCCTTTAATCTCTTCAAGTTTCTCCAGTTCCCTTCCTTCAGTTAGTCGATTACTTTGTACTCAGAACTTGGCTAGTGAATATGGTATGGAAGACACATTTATGGCCCCTCTACTCAAGAATTTGTTTTTAATACAAAATCCTTAAGGCCATGCTGCTACTAGCTTTTATTCCCTGCAGTGCTTTTACTTTTTTTCATTATTTTGATTTCCATGATGATTATTGATTATGACGTTTAAGTATTTTTGTGAGTGATACTGATTTTGATAGTTTGAAGTTTATTTCTGAATATCCAGTGAAGGTACTGTTTTAGTTCAGTTGTTTTCAAGTGTCCACACTGTTTTTGATGATTATGCTAATGACACATGTCGTATGCACAGGTTCCACAAATGTCATTTTAATACAATGCTCAGATATGGGTTTTTCATACCATAGATGTTATTCTGTAATATTTTGTGTAAAATTATACTACTGAAAGCTATACAGAAACTACTATTTGTTCACCTTTGTGACTTAGCAAATGTAGCTTCTGTTATTTTTGTCTGAATATCATATAGTTCTTTAGACGTAGCATGAACATGTTTGTGAGTTATGCTGTAGAAGAAATTAGAGATAAGCTGTCATACTGATTGCAAACTTATTTCTGATTTTCTCTTAAAATTTGAGATAGCTAATTGGTTTCAGGTTAATCTTTTTTTGTACTTAAAACCACATTCATACATATATCAATATACACACATATGTCAATGTGTGGGTATATGTAAACAATTAGATTGTTACATGTTAAAATATAGGTATAGCTACTCTAAGAGTCCTGTAAATTCTCATTAAAAATCAACCAAGTGTTTTAGTTTTATAAAACAAATTTCTCCAAAATTAAATATTTGAACTCATAGACATTCTTTTTGTATTCACACAACTCTGGTAATTCTGTTATGAAAGATTGGTGAGATCTGAGAAGTATACAGATCAGAATATTTAAGGCCAGGGATTTACTTCAGTGTCACCGCACCTGCCTCAAAAGTGCAAGGTCCTGAATTTGATGCACTGCTTAAAAAAAAAAAAAAAGAAAAAGAAAGAATATGTAGAGCTTTTTTCCTCTTAGTAACTGATCTTTCCCAAGGCTTAAGAGAGTTTTGAATCCCCTTTCCTTTGTGTAGAATTACAGAACATTTCTTTTGGTGGGAGGTGCTGACAGTTGAACCCAGGACCTTCACACTAAGCTGCATTCTAATCCCTTTCATATTCTATTTTGTGACAGAATTTTGCTAAGTCCCTGAGTTGTTCAGGTTGAGCTCCAACTTTGCATCCTCCTACCTCAGCCTCCTAGTGAGGTGGGATTACACATAGGTTCCATCACACTCAGCAACAAAACATTTCTTATTACAAAGTATCACCATATTAACCTACCCATTTGAATAATCACATTGTGAAACTTAATTTATGTTACATATATTTTACAATTTATTCCTATTATATTCCTAAACTTCAAGTTTAAGGGCATTTTCTCTCATATTTAGTCAGTTTTAAAACAATACAAACTTTGCCAAGTATTCTGGTACAGACTCCTAATTCCAGCACTCTAGGAGACTGAGGCAGGAAGGAAGTTTGCAAGTTTGAGCCCAACCCAAGAGACTTCGCAAGGCCTTGTCTCAAAAATTTAAAAATGCCATAAAGGAATTGCAGATGTCCCTCAGTGTGAAGGTGCTCAGCTCAAAATTCAATAAGTACCAAAATAAACAAACAAATAAATAATGGAATGCAAAACTTTAGCTTAAGTTGTAGCTGTGGTAGAACACTTAGTATATCACTATAACAGTCCTCAAAATAATTTAAAGGTAAATAAAATAAAAAATTTAAAAAACAAATAAAAGACTGCAAATTTTACCAGCCCAAGACATGATTTTGCCCTTAAATCATTTAGGTTGATAAATTGGATATCTGTGTACATAATGGATTTTGCGATTATTGTTCTTGTCAATGACATGAGAACTTAGACAAATGAATAAAAACCTTGATCCAGTGAATTGTTATGAAATAATAATATTTTGAGTTATAACAATGGCTGACAAGGTGGATAATAGAATGTTTAATAAGATGATCACTGCATCTTGCTATGGCAAATACAATTCCATTTTTTATGTTACAACTTATTGGAGTACAGTGTATTTTACCCTTTCTTTAAATCTTTTAAAATATACTAATCTTTGGATACTTGACAAATAAGTATTGAAAGTCATACCATGGTTTCTTTTAGCATAGGAAAGGGAAGGGTTTTGATATTTATAGGGGGCTGAGAGGAAAAAATGAAAAATGACATTGCTATCCATTTATCTCTTATATATTTTTTCCTGTCATTTATTTCCAGACCTTCCGGGCAAAGGGACTATGTGTTATCTGGCAGGATCTTGTGACCTAGCAGTCCGGCTGATATCACTCTTCCAGACAAAATTTTTAGTTCCTAGGAGGCCATATTTCACGTATTATTGTGATAAGGGGATGATTTTATGATACACTTTTGTGTACATAGTACTAATAGAACTTAGTGAAAGTTGAGAATAAAAAGAGAACAGAATAAATTGATAGTTTGGATGACTAGACAAATAATTCTATTAAATGAGATGGGAAACAGAGATACAATTTGTTCTTGTGAAATTTTACTTCCAAGTTTCTAAAGAAAAATTATAAAGACAGATTTTCATTATCATATTCTTTAAAAATATTTACAAACTAGACAAAATTGTTCATCTTTCAACATTATGCCATATTCTTAAGCTATGTAACTCTCTCTCTTTCTTTCTTTCGTTCTTTCTTTCTCTCTCTCACATGCACACACACCTGCACACACAGATATTTCTAAATTTTTCTTTTAATTTTCTATTTTTTATAGTTAGTATATGTTTGTGTTACATTCATCTTGGGAAATTGGTACATGTACACATCACATCTTAATCATTTTTAGATTCTTCTCATTGACAACCCAGTGTGAGCAAACTTCAGAGCATCACAAACCTAATTCTTGGAATAGTTTTATAACCCCAGAAGTGAATATGGTTTGATGTTTAGTGTGGAAATAAAATGTAACAAAAAATCTAAATAGAAAATAGAGAAAAAGCAAAATAGAGAATAGAGAAGCTTAAACATGCTATTCCCAGTAAGGCTCTCTTAAGCAGAAAGACCAAGGGATCTTTATGATAGTTACTAGAACCCACACTGAATAGTTCTTCAGTCTCAGTGTAAAGATCAATAGTGACATGTTCCACCTCATAAAGATGTATTTCCACAATGAGAGATACAGCCATTCTTAGCAAATTTGGTCTAGTCTACTCTTGACCAGCATGTTAACATACTGAAGACAGTACCGAGTGAAGAATAATACACTGTGGGTTGGGTTTTGTGACACAATAAATAACTCTGAAAATAGCCTATAGAAATAAAAAGTGTTTATTCTGAATTCTTTGATGTCATTCAAATTTCATGTTTACTTCTTATGGTGGTACCTTAGAGGTTATATTGTCACCACTTAATCCACATCTTGTGCTACTGATTTTTTGTCAGCAATTTTCAACATTACTCCATAATCTCTGACTATAAAATACTATCTATTAGCTACTAACTAATTACTACCTGGAATGGTTGTTATATTTAATAGAGAAAACTGCATCAATTTGCTTGTTTTAGCATAAACCTGCTGTTTCTACTTTCTGGAGTATATTGCTGGTTAAGGCAAAAGTATAAATACAGCCGGGTGTGGTGGTGCATGCCTGTAATCCCAGCCCTCAGGAGGCTGAGGCAGGAGTATTGCTGTGAGTTCGAGACCAGCCTGGGCTACATAGTGAGCTCCAGGTCAGTCTCAACTATATTGTGAGACCCTGTTATGCACATGCATATTGCTTTACTTTGAAGAAAAATAAAATGAAATATGCAAAATATGTTCATTTTATTAAAATTGTTTTAGTTTTCCATGTTACTATAAAATGAAATCTTTTTATTTTAGGCATGATAATTATTAGATTATACAATTTCTTCCAATGGTTTACAATTAAGAAGGATATGTTCCTAATTCCTTATTTATTTATTTATTTGGTATGGGGATCGAACTCAGTTCCTTGCACTTGAGAGGCAGGCAGTGGAACCACTAAGCTAAATCCCCAGCCTTTTAGTTCCTTTTTTAAAACATTGATTTATTTTTTTTTTAATCGAGGATCAAACTCAGGAACCTGCTCATGCAAGGCACTTGGCAGAACCACTGGGCTAAATCCCCGGCCCTTAAAACATTGATTTGAAGTGATGTGTATAGCAACAGAGCGATATTTAGTACAATTCCTATAAATAAAGTTTATGCAAGCAATTTTAGAGGAATTATGATGGTTATATATTGGTAAAGAAATGAAAAATTTGTTCTTTGCTATTCTTTATCACTGCTACAATATAACAGGCTTACCTGTGTGCTAAATTAATTATTGCCTGCTTCTTATCACTAAATAAAGGCATTTATATTTATTAAATTGGTTAGTATGCAAGGTATTTGCACTTTTAACTAATTTTCTTTTTCTTTTCTTTTTTCTCTCCCCAGAATGGAGGATACGATAAATTCAATCTATTAATTTTCTCTTCTCAATTTTATACTTTGGTTGCTTAACACTGAAGCAACCATGGTGAACCTAAGGAACGCGGTGCATTCATTCCTGTAAGGATGTTATTACTTATTATTTTAATGAAAGATGATGTCTATGGTAGCTTGCTTAAAGATGTTCAAAATGCTCCAATATGACTATTCGGGTATATCTGCCTCTATCTGCATAAATGACTCATCTCAAAAGATTAATATTATAGATGTTTCCTATCTCAAAATAATAAGTTGGGAAAATAATTTGTATTTTAAGTAAAGATTTCAGGTTATGCACTCAAACATATAATATGGGGATAGTACACTGACTTCAAATAATCCCAATTCTCATAGTTGTTTTCTGTTTGGATAAAACTTAAAAAGGAGAAAGTTTCCTTCCTTTTTTTTTTTAAATGTTACCTGAACTGGCAAGATAATAAGATGTTTCAATAAGCCTCTGACTGCACAAAGAATAATGGATATTGTAAAAGAAAAGGCTCCAAGTTAGGTGTAAAGGTTGGTGGATGTAGGTAGACAGAGGAAAATAATACCATTCTGATAAGTCTTGATATAATGACCTACTGGTTGAAATAAGCAGAATACACCAGAAAAGAGGTAAGTAAAGAATCAGATTGAAGAACTAAGGAATTCTAAATTTGATCTAATCTAAATCTACTCTTGGAGGAATAGGGCACAGGAAAAGAGGTCCAAAGCTGTATGAACTCTGACCAGTAGAGTTGAAAAGACCTGAATTTCTTTGCTCTGTATATAATCTTCTCTGTGTCTTCAAAGGGAGCTCACTCAGGAAATTGTTTATAGCCTAGTATTGGATCCAACATTGGATGCTCTGTAATATGATGTAGGGCTATGTTAAAGACATAAACATTTTCTACAGTGAAATTAAGGAATCAGTATAGTTTTCTCCATTCTACAAGAGAAACAATGAACAATTTGTCTCTTCTATAAATACCCATTGTCATATGGCAACGCAAAAACTCAGTAAACTTAAAATGGACTCAAGATTTTAATTTAAATTATTATTTTATATATTTAGAATGTAAAATTATATTTTCATTAAAATTCAGGAACAGTGAGTAAATTGTTTGCATTGTCCAGAGAGAAATTACGATTTTCATTTACATATTTTGAGAGGTTCCAGTGGGCTTAATAACAATTAATGTATGAGTAAACTTCAAGAGCAAGACTTTAATTACTCTGTATTTATAAAAGGACTTTATATATTTCAGTGAGCACATGAGTATTAAATGTTAAATTTAATTAACTGCAGCCAATTCTTGATTACAAAACTGTACACATATGATTGATGTACAACAAAAATCATAAAAACCTTAACAATAAGTGATATTAATATGACTTAATCAAAATGAATTTAATTAAAGTCAGGAAACTGAAGTAAATATTCTTTCAAAATCTATCCCATAATCCTTACTTTATCCTGTAATTCATAAAGATATATTTGGATTCTATAAGACATCTCTGCAATTCAGTATTTGTTTCATGGATTTTTTATTATGAAATATGCATGTTCTGAACAGTTAGACACAGAAGTGTTTTTCTACCATAAAATCCTGAGATAATTAAACTATAAAATGTATAATGAGACGTAAGTTTTCATGTATATTTTCATTATGCATGATTTTACCCTGAACTCCTCGACAACTTTTAAAGACATGAAAAAATTTAGATGTTCTCACAATTTATTTTTAAAATGTGAAGTTAGAGGCCAGGAATTTAGCTCATGGCATGTGCCTACCTCACAAGCGTAAGGTCCTGAGTTCAATCCCAGGTACTGGGGGAGGGGCGGAAAGTGAAATTAGCCTCCATATTTTCTTAGCAACTTATTCCCTGGCCTTAAGGATAAACATATTTGTGGGTCTACAACTGATAATTAAAAACACAGCTATAATTATTTGAGCATTAAGTCCGGTGGGAATAAATTAGATGTCATCAGCTAATTTAACACAGCAGGACAACAAATCTCTTCTCAATGAGGCCACAAAAGACCCTGGAAAAGATTCTAGAAGGGTTGAGGGGTGAATTGTGTGCTTAGCATGACCAAGGCCCTGGGTTTAATCCTCAGCACTAAGCTAAACAAAAATACAGTAAGTTAAAATATAAAGTTAAGTAATTATCTGAGCCCAGTTCTGTATAGGTAGATATCATCTTGAAAAAAATAAGGATTTTGGGGGGGCCAATTTAGAAATGCATAAGTAAGTATTAAGTAACCATAGAATATTTTTGTTTAACTTTGAAATCAGGTTGTCTTAGCTATTTCATTAATGAAAATAACTATGTTAGTTTTATTAGACAGTTTAGGAGACTCTCTTTTGAGAGAACACTTATGTATGTAACTTGAACGAATCTCCTATCACCATCAGGGGAAATTGGAATGTTCAAGGTCAGCCTTCTCTATGTCTTTTCCATTAGAAAACCACCTAGCTTGAAAGTCCTAATAGAAAAATATACCTAGATACCAATAAGTACATTTTAATTTACTGAAGTTTAGTTCCTAGTTTATAAAATGTAACACACCCACAGGTGTTAATCATCACCATAAATCATTACGTAACTTAGAGTAGGTCCTGAAAACATGGGACACAAATGAGGAAACTGGCAAATACATGGAAAATGTAAAGACCAATACAGGAAATTTTGGAGCATGGTTGTTGAGTGCATTTACTTAGCTCATTCAAATCTCTGGATGTGACCCCAGCACCAGAAAGAAAAAGAAGATTAAAAAGTTGTTAACCACTATAAAGTCACTTTGCAAATGTGAGAAAGTAGGAACAGTTCTAAAAAGAAATGAGTATGTACTGTTAAAACCCACTGTGCCTCTTTCAGTTTTCTAAAGGTGACGGGATGGCAAGTTATTTTTCCTAGCTTTAGATCAAAAGAAGGCAACTTCGAATTTTCTTGTCAGGCTACTGGATCATTTCATAAAATCTTCGTTCTCTTGTCACCTGTTTCAAAGGGTATCTCAAAGAAATTAATATTTTAAAGTGTGAAGAATAAACCAGCACAACAAAATGAACAATACTGTAGTTTGGGGTTGCAGTACAAGTTTAGAGCATAGTCCTTGAAATCAGTGAGACTTTAGCATGCTACATATTGACATGAGAAAGTTATTTAACCTCTTTATACTTGATTCTGCTCAATCAATGTAATGGACATAAATTAATACTGAGTTTATGTGGTGTTATATAGAATCAAATGAGATTATACATGTATTTTAACAAAGTACATGCATAATTTGTAATAATCAGAGAGAAATACTGAGGTTTAATTAGGAGAGTAAAAATAGTGATTGAGATGAGGATGAGGATGATGATGATGATGGTGGTGGTGGTGGTGGTTTTTGAAGGAGAGGCAATTGTTTTGTATAAGCAATATATTGTGCAGAAGTAATATTATAGGTACCTGATTGGGTTTTTTCTCTTTCTTCTTAATTTTCAGTGTGCACCTAATTGGCCTGTTGGTTTGGCAATTTGATATTTCTGTGAGTCCAGTAGCAGCTATGGTAACTGACATTTTCAATACCTCCGATGGTGGACGCTTTAAATTTCCAGATGGGGTACAAAATTGGCCAGCACTTTCAATCGTCAGCATAATAATCATGACAATAGGTGGCAACATACTTGTTATCATGGCAGTAAGCATGGAAAAGAAACTGCACAATGCCACCAATTACTTCTTAATGTCCCTAGCTATTGCTGATATGCTAGTGGGACTACTTGTCATGCCACTTTCTCTTCTTGCAATTCTTTATGGTAAGTACAATTCTTTCAGCTTCTCAATCCCACATTATACTGCAAATTTGAGCTAGATGTCATAGTAAATACTCACATATTTTACCTATAGCATTTGGAAAATGAAGAAAAAAGCAAAGTATGTGGCAGAACAAATTGGTTGTATATCTTTAGATTTATTAAATAAATCAGTAGTAGAGTTTTCAAAAAGGAAAATAGACATAATGTGTTTAAATTATACATAAATGCTTTATTCTTCAGCGTCATTGATATATAAGGAATTACTAGTTATTCAGAATGAGACAAGGACAGAAATATCCCTCACACACATATTCTGGACAGTATACAAACCATCTCTCATACTAAAAAGGAAAAACAGTCTAATTTTGGGGGGGTATTTTTGAGACAGTGTTTTTCTGTCTCAGTTCAGGCTGGCCTCCTCCTCCTCCTCCTCCTCCTCT